GATTCACTTGGCCATTGAAGAATTTCTCATTTCCGTGGCTTTAGAATCTCGCGGGTTCGTAGTGAACACAAGGAAAACAGCCCCGACCTCAGTAAACACTTTCCTGATGATCGAACTTATGAGTTCAGTTTTTTGGAATCATGTTGAACAGAACATTAAATCCATTTTGTAAACTTTGGTTCTTATGTAGTTCTTAACAAAACTTCCCCCATTCAGCGATTCACACCAGCACTTTTCGCTGTGCTTTTTTTATGCAAGTGCTTTTGATCTAACAGACATTTAAGTTGGGGTTAGCATGTTCCCCGAGGATATTTGGCATGCAGACTGGAGCAGCCAGGGATCAAACCACCAACCTTCCAGTTAGCAGATGACCTGCTCCACCTCTGAGCTACATCACCCCATGTAGGTCATACTCATTAGCGAATGATTGGTGATCGCCAAGTTGTTAGCCAACGAGTCATCTCAGGTTTTCTAATCAAACTTCACAAACCAAAGTGTGATTTTACACGAGCTGTATCCACCGACTCAAACCTGAAATTTCCTGTTTTTTCAGGGCATTTTTGTGAGGCAGCCTTGACTCAACCTGAAATTAATTTTGTCTCCATATCAACACAAGCTGTACAAACTGAATGTTGTAGAGTTTAATGAAAAATGCCCATTTGATTCTCTTCACAGACCAAAATGCAGACAGTTAGACGTTTATGTAACGTTTATGCGCCAACCTTAAACCGGTGTTATACTAATTGTCATCTTTATAAATTGCAAATACTTGGTCATATTTTACAATTAATAATCAATCAAGGCTTTATTCGCCATGTGCAGGTTGCCCCCCCCAGCCTTACACACACACAACACAGACATCACATGGGGATACAGGTCGGAGATCGGTAGCATTACAGAAAACAAACACTACAATGGGAAAGTACAAGAGGAAAAAAAAGAGACCTCTACTCATGCTGGGCATTTTTCATTAAACTCTACAACATTCAGTTTGTACAGCTTGTGTTGATATGGAGACAAAATTAATTTCAGGTTGAGTCAAGGCTGCCTCACAAAAATGCCCTGAAAAAACAGGAAATTTCAGGTTTGAGTCGGTGGATACAGCTCGTGTAAAATCACACTTTGGTTTGTGAAGTTTGATTAGAAAACCTGAGATGACTCGTTGGCTAACAACTTGGCGAGAACAGGAAACAAAAAAAACTCCTCTGCACAAAAAAAGCACATAAATGTCCACAGCACAACATTATGGAACATGTGACAAGCCACAGGGTCGGGTGGGGGGTGAGGAGTCATCCGAAGCAAACACAGCAGCCATCCTGCCCAGCGCTACCATTCCAGCGCGGGCTCAGACCCGCCGTGTTCCCAGGAGGGAACAAGCATCGAAGGCGTTTGGAAAGGGAGGGGGGATGAGTGTGTGCATATCAGTGTACATGTA